GTGCACCCCCAAGGCCTTCAACTGGAGTCTCCTCCCAAGCCCCCATCCGCCCTGCCTCCCCAACCTCCCGTGGCCCCTCTCCCCAGCCAGCCCCGCCCCCAATTGGCCCCTGACAGGGACCCTGACAGGAGGGAGGAGGGAGCCGATTCCTCTAGGCTGGCATCGGCGACAGAATATGTCTGAAACCAACTATTGGCACAACATGCCTCTGCAGCCGAAAGAAAACGGCGTCATCAACAGAAATGTCTGAAGACCAACTATTGGTACAACATACCTCTGAAGCCAAAAGAAGCTGGCGTTGTTGAAGAACAGCCATCGACAATGTACTACCAATGCTGGTAGGAACTGCCTTCACAGTGAAATTGAAGTAAATGAGGATGCAATTATCAAACATAGTTGTTGTGTTATAACTGTTACATGTTAATTTTGCTTATCACTAAATGGATAAGCGAAAAACCATCTGATGGGAAATTTACTCAATGTTGTAGGTAAAGTTTGTCCAAATGATAAATGCTTTCCCGACATATTTTTTAAAATCCATAAAACCACTATCACCATGCCTTTCCCTTCTTCCTCTAACCATCTATATCCTCAATCCTTAATTACTATTTCTTTTCTAACCAACTTTTTAATTTTGATACTCTCTGGGGTTCTACTCTTTTTTTTCTTCAAAGAATTTTAATTGATTTTTAAATAGAAAGGGAGAGGGAGAGAGGAACATCAATGTGAGAGCTGAACATTGATAGGCTCCCTCCTGCATGCCACCCGGTATTGAGCCTGCAACCCAGACATGTGCCCTGACCAGGAAGAGAACAAGCAACTTTTTGGTGCACAGAACAATGCCCAAACAACTGAGCCACACCAGCCAGGACTAGGGTTCTACTCTTGATTCACTTATCTTTTGACCCAATTTAATATATGAGGAGTGGCCAGATTATTATGACTGGCCAGATTATTATGACCACCCCATCAGTACAATGAAGTGAATTAGTTATGCAAATAATAATAAAACCTTGAGAGTATTTGCTTAGGAAGTTTTCAATATTCAGTATTTTTGGAAGTGTCAATGAAGTACTGAAGTATTAGTATATTTACTAATAACTGAACATTTCCCCACTGTTTAGATATGCCATAGCTGACTTAACCCTCTAATAATGGTTAATTTTTCGAGTCTCTCAGCGACATAAGCAACGAGTGAGGAGCATTAGTGATTGTGCCTCTTTCCTTTGAGCACAGAGCTAATATTAACTTGCACTATTGTTAAGGATCACCAGGTCAGAGAATATGTACTTTTTTAAGGGCTTGCCGGATTGTCTCCAAAAAGATTGTACTGATTTTTACTCCGACTAACCACTTATGAATTCCTATTTTTCTACACCCATGGCCAACATTGTTTAATCTGAAAATCTCCTTATTTTAGTTTTCATTTCTTTACCAGTAAGATTGCATTTTCCACATATTAGTTGTTATATTTCTTTTTGTGAGGGTGAATTGCCTTTTTCAGTTTGAGACCAATTTTTTCTTTTATTAAGGTGTTTGCCTTTTTATTTTTTATTCCTAATAGACCTTTCATCTGCCCAGTTTGTGAGTTTCTTCTTTAACTATAAGGTATGCTTTGGGGGTAGATTTTTGGCCCTATAGTTTTCTTTTCCCTCTGTAGTTAAATTTCTTGGTTGTCTCTTTTAATAGAAGTGAAAGTAGTAACATAATACTTTTTTCTTAGGAACATGTTATATTCCTCATTTAGCTGAGTACAGCTGAGAGGGTGTTAGGGTGTTCCTTGTTACTTCGATCTTTACCAGGGGGTGTATCACTCCCCACCAGATTTCTGGATGCTACAAGCTTCAATGTCATAATTCATTGTTTTATCTTGCAAAATCATACACTATCACAATAGAAACTAACTCCACTACTGTTTTCTTATGTGTATTAGCCAATTAAGACAGTGGAATTATTTTTTAATTTGCAAGAGAATCTTTGGGTTAAGAAACAAGGTTAAATATCTTGGGAAAGTGAAGATACTGCTAATATCTACAGGGTGCTAGGTAGCTTATCGATTATCTACACTAATAAAAGAGAAACATGGTAATTAGCGTACGACCGCTACCCTTCCCATTGGCTAATCAGCATATCCTTATGCAAATTAACTGTCAGCCAAGATGGCGGCTGGCAGCCAGGCACTGAAGCGAGCAGGGAGGCTTGCTTGCTCCAGTGACTGCGAACTCCAACGGTCCCCACCTGCCGCTGCT